TCTCCTCTGACAGTTTCTTATTTTTATAAGAATTTTATAAAGGTTTTCTCAGTCATCAGCCTAAAGCCTCCTAGCTGTGTTTTAAGCCCAGTCATTCTTTTTCTAGCCACCATAATCATCAGAAAGCACAATCCTCTTCATTTTTACAACAGTTTCACACATTTAAAATGTATTTTAAAACAAGTGTTTTTCTAGTCTGTTAAACTGCCATATAAAAGCTGGGTAAACTGGACCTTATTCAGCAAACTTACATTGTTCTCCATGGCCAGGCGACGAACTGCAGGGGTTGCTAATGTTTTGTGACCTTTAATCTCTTGGTGAGTGTGCTCTTCATGAGACATAGGAGGTGTTTCAACAACATCTTCTTCCGGGGAAACACCTGCAAACAAAAAGAAAATAGTTAACTTTACTACATTATAAGCATTTGTTAAATTCCAACCCCAACCATTCTGTAACAGCTGAAGTTTTTATGATTTACTTTGAGCTAATGTGGATGGGAACACAGCTGGCTAAAGGCTGCTGCTTAAGCTAAATATTCAAGAGGAAATGTCAGGGAGATTTTAAACACTAATGAATATCATAAATTTCTCTACTCAAATTTCTTGACTTTATAAAGGGAAAAAAAGCTCTGGAGATTTTTGGGAGGAAAAAGTAAGCTTCTCTGTCACTGATTGTTTTATGACAACAAACATAAAATATGCATGAGAAAAAAATGGCTTACAATACCTTTTGAAGCATCGATTTCAATGTCCACTAGTGGTTTTCCAACAAAAGCAATATCATCTATGCTGTAATGGAGTTTTCTGATGACTCCATCGTAACGACTGGTGATAGTAACAGAGGCTTTATCACTCTGTACCTCACAGATGCTGTCAAACTGAGACACACTGTCACCTTCCTTTATGTACCTGGGAGGAAAGACAGAAAAACACGTTCTCTGTGTTCCTTTGGTAAGTTCAGTAGTATACATCCCACAATGTGGAAGTGCATTCCAGATGAGAAGACAAATTCTACATATTGGATATGTATGCCTTTCTGCTTGCCACAGAACTCTTTGTTAAGTGAAAAGACAAAATTATTATGAATATCATTACACACATATTACATTTATTTTAGTAAAGCAGAGTTTTCCTCTCAGATTAGAAAGCATTTAAGAATAAGAATGAGCCCAGCTTAATCTGTTAGTTCCTAGTTTCAGCTTGTCAATATACAAAGAAGAGGTATTTGTACAAAGAACAAGGCCTTTCAACACTGCCTTCCTTCCCTGTACACTTTGATTTTGTTTAATCCATTCATCACTGGCTTTTTACAAACAATTTAAAAGTTCAAATATTTTACTAAAAGCAATAGAGAAAGGGTATAGGATAAAATTATGTGGATTCTCTAGTCATTTGTTTCTAAAGCTCAGTCTAAGTAAACATAACAAAAGACAGGCCTCCTGAACCCAAAAAACATTAATCACTGAAGGAAAAGCCTAAACACAGGTGCATCCCATTCCTTCCACTTTTTGTCACTCACAAATCTATCAGACTGAAAACAAACACAATGTAAATCTCAGTATGTACAAGGTTTTGAAATGTGCAAAATGAAACCTGGAAAACTTCACTAGTAACCAAAAAAATATTCTCAGATAATTCATTGATCATACAGCTAAAGCAACTAAACTACCTGCTGATTTCTTAGTGTATTTCCAGGAAAGCAGAGCTTACCATTCTTTTACAGTCACCTCTGTAATTCCTTCTCCAATGTCAGAAAGCTTAAACTGGACAATTTGGCCACATGAAACTTGAAACAGAGAATAAAAAAATACAACATGTTTAATATGAAATACAAGCTACCAGACAGAAAAGTCTGAATGCATCAGAAATAGTCTACACACCAGCCATATGCAAACCTCTAACATAATACTCATAAAATAGTAAAATAAATTATTTTATTATGAAAAAGATTACCAGCAGATGTTCTGAATAATCGCTGTTGATGACTAAACTTGAGGGCAGATTTGTCAAACACGCACACATATTTTGATTTTATAAAGCGAATGCTGCTGCACGATCTAACACGATGAATGCAAACCTGGGGAGAAAAGTCTCAAGGGTTAATACAATGGACTGAGGATATAGTGCTCATTTAATACTCCTGATGTAACACTCATACTAAAATAGTTTCATTCTAGTCTATATAAGAGAAATTCTTATGGAAACACAATTACACTGAATACATTCTTGAATATAAAATAACCTTTACATTAGCAAAAGCTTTGCTAGTTCTTTAACTTCTTTCACTAACACAACACACAGGGAGATCAAAGCCACAGTGACATAACCAATTAACAAAAATCATGACAGGATTTGGTGAGTGATTCATTGCTATTGTTTCTCTCAGGAATTAGCTTAATCAGGGCAGGCACACAAAAAGCACACATACTATCAACTACATCAGACATCTGAAGTATTCCTATCCAGGATGAATGCTAGAAGTCTTCCCTAGACTGCAGGGAAAACCAGCATATTTGTCTTCATTAGTTCTTATTCCGATCAGAGGTTGATCAGAAGTACTGATCAGAAGTACTAATCAGAAAGGAAATTCACACCAGAGGGCCCAGAGAGTTGCCCTTTCATTTTTTGTTCGTATATAGGAGGCAATTGTCTTCAAGTAAGCATCATCTCAAATCAGCTTCAATGATATTTTGTAAGAACTGGCCATGAGATGGTTTTCTTTAATGGTTACAATTTCATTTATCTAGAAATCAACTTAAAAGTGTCTACAGAATTTTCTGAAAGATTCTTTATGCTTTAAAGCTTCTTGTAATCAGTCATGATTGTGATCAAAAGCAAAGCTGGTAGTGCTTGCATTGACATAAACAGGTATTTTATTAATTTCAACACGAGTTAGTTCAGACACGTTCTTATTCAGTAAAATTTATTAAATTTAATTTAATAATAAATTTAATTCTTGTGTTATGTTTTCTTAAGAGTGCTGTAAAATTTATAAAAATAACAGTTTCTTTGTAGATACTATCTCTAACTAGTTTAGAGATATGAAAAAAATTCAGGTGCTACAATGTACCTCAAGTAGCTCAAAACTGTAAAATTTAGAAATTATCTTCTTAGAGGAGCCAGAAAACAGCACACCTGCATGGGAAAGTTCATTTTAACTTCTTGTTTAAAAAATCCTTTCAGTAATTACAGAGCATATGAAACTTCTTGTTTCCCTCCCCACACCCCACGGTGTTCAACTATTTGCTATCACAGTCCACTTTTTAAAAAGTACATTATTCAGGGCCACACAATTCTGAACTGACAATGTACTAATTTTCTGTATTATTTATCCTAGTACTGCAAGTTATATTTAATATCCCCTTTCTTTAAGAAACAAACCTTTTATACAATATGATCTATCAAAATGGACACAACAAAGTGCCATCATTCGAGTTACCTTTCACTGCCTGCCACTAAAATGGTACCTACTGATCTAGAATGAGCATTTTCCTAATTCCTATAACATGCAAACAGAAAATATTTTCATTTGTCCTCCAAATAACTTTCCATATTCAACAATCAGATAGCATGGCAATTTCCAGCTATGAAAAATTGTATTTTAGGAATACATTTAAAGTTCTCATTAAATTACAAAACTAATGTACATCTTCACAATCCTATTTTCTCCTACTTTAATTCTGGGTTTCTTCCCAGTTGAAGGTAACATGTTTACATTAAAATGTTACTGAAAAAGATGTTCAACTAGACCTTTTTGTCACAAACTTGCAAAAACCCTCTTTTCTCTTTACACGACCCTAAATGAAAAACATTCAGTATTTACCTGTGAAGATGATCACAAGGAGCACAAGGAGCACACTGAACTATTTCTAAATGTGAAGTTTCACAATGATTTCCATGTGTTTTTAACCTTTGGTTACCAATGCAGGTAGTGAATTAGTAATGTCACTGCCAAAAAAAGAGACTGGTGTTGTTATTGAAGAGTGACCATGCTGTTTCATATTATATCTGTAGGAATAATTCAAAACTACTGCATTTTTAAAAAGGAACTCTCTCTAGTTTTCAATTTTGCACATTCTCTACTAAAAAGTTGCTGTGCTAGTATGTTAAAGTAATAATGCAGGACACAATCTCTTCACAGAGCAGTGCTCCTTACTAGCAAGGAAAAAAATCCATTAAACAAAAAGACTGTGCTTACAAATTCAGCATTTAATCACCATAATACTGGTGTTATGCCAAACAAGGAAATAAAAACGGCACCTAAAAGACAAAATTAGCTCTAATATCCATAGCATACCCATCTACATATTTTGATGTCTGGAAAAATCAGTCAGTAAACTCCAAACATAACTGCTAGTAATGAGTTTGTAAATGTGGCTACTATTACACTAAACAGCAACTTAAAGGCAATAATGTCACATCAAGGTAACATCTTTCCTGTGCAAGTCTCTGATGCGCAGTGTGACTCTGGCAAAAAGGAACCAAGGGCCCACTCAAGTCCCTCTCTGGGACTGAGGCTGGGACTGAGCCTGGCTGACAGAGCCGTGCTCTGACCCGAGCCAGGAGGGGAGCTGAGTGCACTCAGGGAGAACTGCCTTGGCCCTCTGGTTTAACTTTGGTTGTTTCCTTAAAAACAAGACAACTCCAGCTTTCTAAATTACCACTGATCCTGAAAATGTATTCTGGCCTCAGACCAAAATATTTTAAGCAGCTTCCAGAGAACTGATTACCTGATGGATTAACACTAAATTTCCAAATCAAATTGAGCAGCTCATGCTCATATGCAATGATTGTGCATTAAAGGATACTGCCCTGCTGAACTCTCTAGACTTCTGTTCCATGGAGTCATTTTAATAAACATTTCCTCACATTGGATGTGTTCTGCATACATATTCTGTATTTCCAAGGATATAGTTACCAATATACTATACTTAATACTAAAGCAACATCTCTGGTAACATGTATTAATCTGATGTCATCCCTCATCTAAATACCCGGCACATGTCCCAGTATCCAGGTAACCGCAATTTCCCTGCCACTTAACACAAAAGCCCCCTGGCTCAGGTTCAAAACGTGCTTGCAGAAAATACACACTATAAACCAGCCAACTCTATAGTTTAGCATGCACATAGATGAGTGTTTTCATCTTACCAGACTCTCCCTCTGCATTTAAGAGTAGATGGTTAGAAATACAACTTAAAAGAAAGTGCTATTTTCAATGCTCTTAATTAGCAAAATTATTTAAAAAGTTACTAGCTGAAAACTGATTACAAAAGTATCATTTATAAATTCCTCATCCTTATACTTTATAATATGAATTATTAAGAGAAAAAAAAATACTGGAAACTGGAACTGATCCTTAATTTTGTTTCCTAAAATTCAAAAGTTATTTCTTCTCTGACATCCCACAATGTAGGGATGATAGAATAATAAATCAACGCTCTTCACAACAGCAAGAAGACTATAATACAAGAAGACAGAAGAAAGCATGGACTAGGTCCACGTTCACGAAATTTTAAGTATTCCAGAAAGGCAACCAAGTAGATTCGCTTCTTATGGTAAGGTATCTCAACTACTTTTCAAGCATCAAGGCTCCTGGAATCCAAAGAAATCCGTTTCCCGTTTGTGTACGTGTGGCCACACGGTCCCCGTGCAGATGCGGTATACTAAGAGAGGTGATGCATGGGCGGAGAAGCGTTGATGGCACAGCAACGTACAGGCAAAACAATAATGGGATGACTTAGAAAGAGCAGAAGAGGACGTGTCACTAGCTTATTACAGAAAGGCACACGTTTCTCTCACAGGGAGCACGGGCAAGGGCAGGGCACTCCGGGGGCTGCGCGGGGCGGAGGGTGCTAGTTCTGGGGGTCCCTGTGCAGCGCGGGGCGGGCGGTCCCGGCACGGCCGGGGGCTCGGCCACCTGCGCGGAGCACGGGCAGCGCACGGCGGGCAGGGAGCTGAGGCGCCGCCCGCCCCCGGCCACTGCCGAGGCGGCAGCTCCGCGAGCTGCAGTGGCGCGGTGCTCGCTGTGTGCCCGCCGGACGGCAGGAACCGAGGACAAGGGCTCGGGGATGCCGCGCGTTATTCCTCCCTCCCCGGCTGGCCGGGAGCGCCGCCGCCAGCGGGGCTCCCGCTGCCCTTACCANGGGTGTCCACGGCGCTGAGCTGCCTGCTGGGGCTGCCCGTGCGGGTGCGCCGGATCCGCGCCGGGCGGAGCCAGCCCGGCCTCAGGTGAGACCCTCCCCGGGCGGTCCCGGGGCGCCCAGCCGGTCACTTACGGCGTGGGGGGCCTTCCCGGGCCGGGGCACGGCTGCACAAGGCCTCGGCTGCTCTCGTCTGAATCATTTGTGTTTCCATTGCTTTAAAAGGGCCTTTTTACTAGAAAATCCCGTCTTTGGCTCACAAGGAGTGAGAGGGAACGCTGGGGCATGAACTGGCCTCGGTTCCCTCGCCGGTGCCCTCAGCGCGGCTCCCCGGCCCGGGGCAGGTGAGGGCGCGGCCCGGCCGCAGCCTCGGAAATGGTTCTACGGGTGCTACGTGGAACACACGGCTTGAAACAGGGAACACACTCATGTAATGCCTGAGCGAAACATAGCTTACCGAGCGTACAGTGTTAAGAACAGGGAGTGCATATCCTAGTGTTGCTACAGTTAGTGTATTTCCAGTGTTAAGAACAGTTCGTGTGTTTCCTATTTAAATTACCTTAATAAATGGAAACAAACACAAGGCAACTATATAGCAAACCTGTTAACTCTCTTGTAGCACTGCAACCGGTTCTGGCTCAGCCAGTATTGCCATCATTAGCCCGCTGCATTTCTGTCCAAGCATTTATCACATTACGACAAGCGACTGCTCCTGCATCTCATTTATTTGTCTGTACCCATTCTACCCATCCCAGTATAGCCTGAATGCTGCTCCTTTGGCTCCTGTGAACTCAGAAGTACTGTAGCAACCAGAATGAATTTCTGATACTTGTCTAATCCAAAATTTGCATTTGTATTTTTTTAGTTGGTTTTTAGTGGTTCTTTTAATGTAACATGAGCATGTAGTCTCTTTGTATGTGTCTTTAACTGTTTGTTGTCACTCTAAGACCTCAGCATCTGTCTGGATTGGAGATCATTCGAGATCTGTGTGATGGAAAGCTGAATGGTGGTGAAATTGGCTCAACAGAAATAACCTTCACTCCTGGGAAGATCAAAGGTGGAACCCACATAGCAGATACAAAAACAGCAGGGTATGTCTTTGTACCAGCTTCTGATAACTTTAAAATTATCACAATAGATTAGGGGGGAAAAAAGAACATTTATGCTTTGGTAATGACCCAGGATATGTGCTGCCTGAGCCAGATTTGTGTGACCCAAGAACCTGTAGTATAGGCAGGAGATGCATGAAGTACATGCAAAGTTTAAAAGCATGATAGATATAAAAGCTGAACACTTGGTTCATGTTATGAAAAAAGCAGGTGCCTGTGTCTTTAAAACTTTAGGTGTAATTTCTTTACATTTACTGTGTTACATACCAGACCAAATGTATTAAATTAGATAAGTATCTCACATCCATAAGGTCTGAAATAATCATCATACAATAAGGTAATTTTTAATATTTTACTTACACTTATAGTAGCACAGTCATATTAGTCTTTTGGAACATATTCCATCCATGTAATAAAATGTTACTGCTGCCAAAGCCTTTTCTGCTACCTAGGCCCACAGTTTTCATGGTCCCATCTGTATACTAAGGGAGATACATAACTTTTATTTCAGACAGAAGTATTAAAGTTACAATTATTGTGAAATGAAAACCTTCATATTTAGGCTTGCTAAGAACGCCAAGTTTTAAATTAGTATCTTTTAAGACTAATAAGTTTATAGATAATTTTAAAAATAAAATGCAAAAGTAGATGCTCTGGAAGGTCATCTGCCTTTGATATATAGCGATTCTATGGAATTCTATGGATTATGAACATAGTCTGACATTTGAGTATCTTACAATTGCTTTTAGGAGTGTGTGCCTACTGATGCAGGTAGCAATGCCCTGTGTGCTGTTTGCTGCTTCCCCATCAGAGCTTCATTTAAAAGGTGGGACTAATGCGGAGATGGCTCCTCAGATAGACTACACAGTCATGGTAGGGAGAAATTCCTTTGTCTTGGTGCATCTTCCCTGAATATATGTGCAATGTAACTGCTGTTCCTCTTACTGCAAGTCTATTTGTGACCATAGAATTAGGCATGGGACTATAACACTATTAGTGTACTGGATGTAGAGAGCAACCAGTGTTTCATGGAATTTCCTGAAACAGCAAATAGTTTCTTTGGTTTTAATTACTACAGAAAATTTCAGTTAAAATGTATTCTTTATCTAGAAGTGCTAGAGTGAATTACTCTTCTTTTTTTCCATAAGAAAGTCCTTTTACACAAGGTGACATTGAGAATGAAGTATGAGAAATATCAAATAAGCTATATGGATGAGACTGGCTATCTTTTTTTTTTCAGTAACGTAACTGAATTTTTTGTGTTTAGCTTTTTTTTCTCTTTTAAGATTGCATAAAATAATGGGAAAATATTAATGCAAAATAAATTCACTCTGTGTTTTTATATGTGTTTATTTTTCAGGTTTTCAAGCCAGTAGTTGAAAAGTTCAACTTCACATTTAATTGTGACATAAAAAGGAGGTGAGTTGTGGAGCTGTGCAGCAGATCTGGGTCTTACTGAACCCGTGTGTGAGCAGAGGCACACACAAGGGGCTCTCAATCAAACTGAGGGATGAATTTATAATACATGAACTAATCTGCATTAGCTGTCCCTGTGTGTACTGTCACCCTATGATGAATGGGATATGATTCTTTGCTGTCTTCTTTTTTCCTTGCTGGGTCCACAGCTGCTGTGTAATGTTTCCTGTTGGCTCCCCTGAGGGGAGCACATGCTGAACAGGCAGTGCATTACTAACCTTTTCCAAGGTGCCAGTTAGGTTAGTGTTAGGAAATTAATAAGATGTGCATTACAGAGGATTAGTGTTAGAGAACCCAATTCCATCATAAGAGTTTCTAAGGCACACATCAAGAAAATTTGTATGTTACAGTAGCAGGGAACATAAAAATGTATGATGAAATATATGAAGAGCCTCCTGGCCCTTTTCTTGGTTTCCTTGTGATCATTGCATTTAGTTACATACAATTACTGTTTCTAAATAGGGGTTACTACCCTCAAGGAGGTGGTGAAGTTGTAGTCCAGATGTCTCCAGTCAAAGAGCTGAGCCCAATAAACTTAACAGAACGTGGCACAGTGACAAAGATTTATGGAAGGGCATTTGTTGCTGGAGCACTGCCTATCAAAGTAAGTGCTTATCATGGCTCTGGTAGTATCCAACTTTATATAGCTACATAAAATTGCATGCAATCTGTTTAACATTTCTCTACTCTCCTGTCTTTTGCAGTCTTACACAAGCTAAGCAACCTTATTAAACTGTTTTGATTATTCAGGCTGTAGAATATTATATTTGACATACCTAAAATTCATTCATCACACAGCAGTGTAAAGGTGAAACAGGAAATGAGAACAGTATCCTCATCCTTCACAGGACTACTCAAAAGTCTTTAGCATATATTGAGGGATATCTTATATCTGATTTAGGTATTCTTCATATTCATGTGGATTATTTTAAATCTGAAATTAGGGCCCTTGTTCATGAGCACTCTAATAGGTGGAGGCCAGACTACAACAGGTTTTTCAGCCATTGCTAAGGGTATTAGAACAAGTTAAGGGTAGGTTTAGACAAAAATTAGAAGGAGAGAAATTTGCTCCTTTATATCTCCTTTCTGTTCTTCCTGTCCTGAGTGCTGAGATCTCCTTAAGGTTCCAGCTCACATACAGGCTAGGAAATAGTAGAGGAAGGAAGAGGAGAAACTGAATTACTTTTCAAAAAGCTGTGGACTGCTGGTTTTGGTCTTAAAATCTCCAAATCCATGAATATAGCTATGATTAGATCACAGGATTGGGATAAGCTTTGTATTCCCCCCATTTGCTTGTGATGTAAAATTGTTATTTTATGTATTCTCTCTTACAGAGTATATTCTGTACATAATTATTGGGGGG